CGGTGGGGCTGCGCCTGGGTGTGTGCGGGGGGGGTGTCCGCGGCCTCGCCCTCGTCCTCGCCGTGTGCTTAGGGGTCAGAGCGGGCCCGGAGGGACCCTTCCCCCCCTCCCGGCGCTTTTCGGCCGAGCTTGTGGGGGCTCAAGGCAGCTGGGGCAGGTTCAGAGCTGTTTCTTGTCCCTTCCTCGGGCTGCTTGGGGTTTATGTGTGTCGCCTTTGGTGTAGGCCTTGGTGTCCCTGCCAGGGGCATGCCGTACCTGTACGGTCTTTGACCTCAGGGATGGCTTTGGTAGAGGCTGCTTTGGAGCAGGTGAGAAGCTAGTAGTGCATGGCGATGTCCTGGGCTTCATGCTCTTCTTACTTAAAAAGAACAAACAAACAACAACACACGCACCCACTGTCACGTTTCTGAAACCTATAAAGGCATTGTAGGTGAAACGAAGAGTTTGCTGCTTAGGGGATGTGGGTGGGAAGGATTTTCCTTTTTAACGGATCTTTATTTATAAACATAATCTTGTAGCTATTAATAGAACTGCTGCCAACCTGTTTGTGCCCAGGAATTATGTTTATGTCTAGCAGCTTAGAAAGTAGAAGCTTAGTGTTTCTGGTGACCTGATGGATGATCAGATCATTATTTTATGATGACTTGGCCTGTGACCTGGTAAACCATTTGGACAAGAACATCAAGCAGCTTAGAGAAAGGTTCTTACAGTCTTTAAAATTAATGCCCAAATAAACCTTAAATGCAGCCATAATGTAAGAGAGTTAAAAATGCCCAGGAAGAAAGAAGAACCTCAAAAGAGAAAATGTAATTGAGAACATCCTGCATACAGGAGTTGCTGATTAGATTTCATGATCCTTCCTTTCCTCCTAATCTGTTTGGGTTGCTGGAATCTGTTTAGTTGGTTTAATGACATAGTGAAAACTTGACCTCTGAGGGGCTGCCCTTTCTAAAATAAGCAGAATGGCTTAGACTGAGAGGCCACAAGAAACTGATCCAGATCCTATTCATTGAGAATAACTAGAACTTTCTTAGCAGTCAAGCACATTTATATTTCTCCATGATGGTTTAGCTGTTTGTATTGCAGTGTTTTGCAGGACGCAGGGGTCAGGTTGATTTGCAACCTGCAATAAGGACTACATCGGACACTTTATACTAATCTTACTGATTCGTTATCCTTTTCCATCAGTAGGAGCTATAAATATTTTATGATCTTGCTTGGGGCTTTACATGTTGTAGCAATACAGATAATAAATATTTAGCCTGTCTTGTCCATCTGGAACGTTGCGTCCTTACACCATTGTACTTTCTGCCAGATAGGCTATCTAAAGTGCTTTAAGGTGTCTTTAGAAAGTACTGAAGAGCTGAATTGTGTTTATTTTGATGTCCTAACACAGTTTTGAGAGATGGCGCTGAGAGGTACTTCTGGTTGAACGACTGCTGATCAGGTTAAGAAAGTCATTATTTGAGACTGTGTTTGTGTTAAAGGGTTAGACTACCAACTGGTCTTCCTATCTTTATTGAAATATGACTCTAGACAAACATGAATAAAGTTAGACACATAATAAGGTATTTTATTTGGTGGCTGTCACTGTTGATAGTGAGATTTTGCGGTGTGCTGGATATATAGAACTTTTTTTAAGAAACAACCAACCTACAGGGCATCTCATATTCAAACATGGTATAAAACAGTATACGCAGAAATGCTTTAAACCATATTTCATTTATATTTTTAATTTTATGAGTTTCTCTTTCTTCTAACTTAAATATTATGGGAAGAACATTATGTTAAAAGCATTATAATGTCATGAAACTGGAAAATCGTAATGCAAATTGTACTGAGAAACTCATTTACTGTTGGAAACTTGTTTGCTCAGAAGTTATTAGGGTATTAGGGTTACTATCTCTGTGCGCTCTTCAGAAGTTTCTTGAAGCACTAAAAAGTCTTCCTGTCTCTGTTTAGGACTGGCAGCCTCCATTTGCATGTGAAGTACAAAGCTTTCGTTTCACTCCACGAATCCAGCGCCTGAATGAGCTGGAGGTGAGCTTTTCCACTGTCGATTTAATTTTGTATTTGCACTGAAACCAGTAGGTCTCCTTGCTCGTGGTTTGCATCTTGGCAAGTTTATGAATGGGGAGACTTTAGAAACCCATAGACCACATCAGTGTTTATACTTGGCACTGGCAACGTTTGGGTGAAATAACTCTCCATGGCTTTGAGAAAAGTCTGGCTTTTATTTTATTACCCAAAATAACCACAAGAGTTTTTCACATTCAACTGGAAATCTCTAAAATGGATGCCAAATACCATATTGTATAGTAAGAGCAGCCAGTGTCTAGCCTTCAAAACTCCACAGGGATTGAGGAAAAAAAAATATGTGTGTGTGTATATGTATTTGTCTTCCTAGAATACTTACTGCTGTTCTTAAGCCTCTGGTTACTTTATGCTTATATACCTTGATAATGCCTCTTAAGCCTTAAAATGAAGTGTTTTTTTTATAGGTCTAGTTACAATTAATTAATTTTAAGTTTCAAAAATGCGTGGGAGCTTTATTGAAAACCGTGCAAGTCCCTAGTCTGTCCTGGTTTTTCCTTTCCCTGCAACATTTCTCAAAGGCTTGCTCTGTTCATATACCAAAACATCATATATTATTTGGCTTGTAAATGGGTGCCCTTATGGAATTTTGCATATTGCAAAAATACTCAAGGGAGGAGACTCTTGTGCAGTGTTAAGGCATACAGGAAAATTCTTTTTAACTTTTTTTTAACCTTGTACTTCTGTTTCAATAATTGCTCTTGTTTTTCTCCTTGGAATGCTGATTCTTCTTATGTATGTGTTTTATCTTCAAAAAGAGAAATTGCTAGGTGGGAATTTGGATCTTGACTGTGGAGAGCAAAAACATATATAGTATTCTGTTTATAAAGATCTGACTTTTTATTATTATTTTTTTAACACAGCTAGGAAAAGCATCACTTTACAGGTTACATTTCAAAAATATAAACTATTCGAGGAACTTGTGTTTTCTCAGGACTGTATGGTATTTTCGTGCTTGTTTTGGGAAATACACATTAGCCTTCCTGTATTGATTGCAGGCAATGACCAGAGTGAAGCTGGACTTCTTGGATCAATTAGCAAAATTTTGGGAACTCCAAGGATCCAATTTAAAAATCCCTGTGGTGGAGAGAAAAATACTGGATCTCTATGCTCTGAGCAAGGTGAGTAACCAATTGCAGGACTTGGTCAGCCAGGGACACTCTGACCTGAGGTTGTCTTTCATCCAAGCTCAAGAAGCCAAGGAACAGGATAGCTCAGAAAATATGAAGATTGAGCGAAGGGAGGGGAAAAAAAGAGAAGTTCCAAGTATGTGAATGCAAGGTTATGGCAGACATCTCAAGCATAGTTAAATCAGTTTGCTTTGGTTGGATTGTATACAGCATGGGTTAGTTGCCTTGTGTGTATGTGTGTATATATATAATGTTTTGTAATGTCATAATACTTCTGGAATAATTGTTTTAGTTTCCAGTGCAGACACGTCCTAAGTTTTTACTGCTGTAGTTACGTTTGGCATGTTATTTTTCAAAATTTGTACAAATAAAATCTTTGTTGGAACTGGTGATTGTACTGGCAAAACATAGCTGATGGTATTAAGTTGCCTGCTAAGAAGGCTTGTTACTATAGCTGTAAAAGTAGCTTTCTTTAAGCAAGGTGAGAAACTAACATACTTCTAACTTAGAGCATCAGTTTCCATTCCTCTGTTACAATTTCTTTGTTTTAGGTAAGTGAAAATGTAAATGCCTGAATAGATGTTTGTGTTTAAGAGAAGAAATCGTAGCCTTTTTGGCTACGTCTGGGATTGCTGATAAAACACAGACTAAAACTGAAAAAATGTATTTTGGTATTTGAGTTTTTTTATTTTCATGTCTATTGTGGTTTGGGGTATGTATAGTTGTATATCATACTGCTATTGGGAATATTTGGGTCACTGCTGGACAACATTTCAGTTGTCTTAACTGCAGATAGGCAGGTTTTAGCTTATTTGGTTGCTTGGTGGCTTCCTAGCCACTGTTCATGTAAAGCTAATTTTAGAAATCAATTTTTTGTGGACATGTCAAAACTAAACTGAAATGTAGGAACAGTTTCATTTATACTTACCTTTTTTAAAAATAATTTGCAGTAACAATGAGAAATATAATGATCAAGAAAATTACTATTTTATCTGAATGCAAGCATCTTGGGTTATAGGAAAAAAAAAGCTAATTTATTAGTCACTTTCACAGTTAGACTTCTGAATTTACTTGAGAAGTAATCCATAAATTTCACTGCAGTAACAAAACGTGTTTTGCTTCGAGGTTTCCAATAGTCTATGGAATGTTAAGTGTGAAACTTGGCCCTTGTGTAAAGAAATATAATGAAATGTTACACTGCTGTGCAAATGCTAATAATAATAGAAAACTCAAACAGATTGTAATTGATATTAATTTCAGTGCTTGGTAGTGAAACTGTAAAGTGGAAATGTGGGCAATGGAAATGTTACCAGTGTTTCAAGGGAAGCAACTCATATGCTGCTGTTATCATTGCTTTGTGGCAGTTTATTTTTCATTTTATGTAAATATTAGTCATATGTAATCAATGTTCTGTATGTGAATTACTAGACTCAAAACAAGTGTAACAGCAACTGAGTTGAGTTAATTCGAAGGTAAATTCAGTTTCTCCTCTTTTTACAGTAGTCTCTCTTTCATTCAGGGTTCTCTGAGAGTTTCTATAACTCTGAAGTCATGAGCTCCAGCACTCCCTTCTACCTGAGGTCTGTTTAGAGTTGGCCAGACAGTTGACTTCACTCCTGGCCAGACTTGTGTTTTGCGTCAGAGTACAAGTCTGATGAGAGTTAACTTTTCAGTTTGCCTGATGTTGGATTTGTATTCTTTCCAAGGCGTCAGAGATCTTAACTGTTGGATGTATCTTATATTAATTTACTAGGAAAGTTGTCTCGTTAAATATATTAAATAACTAGGTTAAATACGTGTTTTGAAGTGCCAGTCCTTCAAGAAGCGAAAGCTAAATTCAGGATTCTGTTGCCCTTTAATAGAACCTTTTAACATTTGGTCAGTTTACTCAATTCTTGGTTTATGCAGGTGATGGGAGCAACTGAAAGTCCTTAACTTTATTTGTGTGTTGCAGATTGTTGCCAGCAAAGGAGGCTTTGAGGTGGTCACTAAAGAGAAGAAATGGTCGAAAGTGGCAAGTCGGCTTGGCTACCTGCCAGGAAAAGGCACAGGGTCGTTACTTAAGTCTCACTATGAACGGATCTTATACCCGTATGAGCTCTTCCAGTCTGGAGTCAGCCTTATGGTGAGGCACTTCTCTTTCAGCACGTGAAGGTGGGACCCAGACTGCACATAGAACAGTGCTTGTCATTGTACAAGAAACTATGACATAGGAGTCTACACTTTTAGAAGCTTCAGCTGTGTAAACAAACATGCAAACCCCCTCATACTTAGCGATGGCAGAATAGCACTAGAAGTTGTAATCTGATCTTGTGTAATTTTCTGTTAGACATTTTTCTGTAGGACTTAGATCAACCTTATGGGGATGCAAAATAGGGCAAAGGATGGTGTACTTGATTGGGGAGATGTCTTTGAATCTCAATTGACAGCTAAATAAGTGAGACAGTCGTCGTCTTTCAAGTGTGCGTGGATTCATTTGCTGCTGGTCCAAATGGTGTGTGTAGTGCTGTGTGACTTCACTCGCTGTCCTGTTTCTTAGCAAGCAGGATGATGCACAAGTCAAAGAGTTTGATTCCCTGATCAATCAACCTGGTGTCCTGTGCTTTGATCCCCTAGGGCATCCAAAAGCCAAATCTGGACCTTAAGGAAAAAGTGGAGGCGGAGGACCTCAGCTCTGATGCCCAGGCTTCCCCAAAGCAGGGTACAAGAATGAATGTGGTGCTGAAGAGAACCAGACGCGTCAAGTCCCAGGTATCCGTGTTGCTTGGCCGTTACAGACAGAGAGCTTTTATTCCTTGTACCAGTACAGTAGCACTGAAAGAGCAACAGCCTTTGACTGTTGGAGTTCACTCAAATGCACCACGAGGAAGCAGTCTTCACTTAAAATCCAGAGAAAAATGTGACTCTGAGGCCTGGTTTGCTCGGGGACCTGCACTGTTTAGCTAACAACTTCTAAAAGCTGTTTTTGGTTTATTTGCAAGTGGGCTATGTACCTTGGCAGTGATTATACCTGTGAAAACTGAACAGGTAAAAGCCATTTGTAAAATGATGTTGAAGCCTCTGCTTGTGCAGAGTTGGGCAAAAAATTGTTTTCAAAACTGGATTTTGTATATGCCCTTTAGTTGCATGAATGCAAATATGTGAAGATAAGTCCTTATTAGTTGTGGAAATTGCGCTTAGGACTATCTCATGCTGGACAGATTTTTTTTTTTGTGAAGAAAACACAGGTACAAGGGCAGGTGGTCAGTGATGGCTGGAAGTGTGTAGGAATTCCACAGTTTCTCAATTGAAATGCAAATTTTTTCGCCTGGATTTGTGCTGTTCTAGGAACATCTGATATTTGGCTAGGCAATATTAAACCCTAGGAGTAACCCCCAGTAAATCTCACTTCAAACTGATTTGCTGCCACTTTGAATACTATATCATTAGAAGTAGTCTTGGTGGCTTGTCCTGACATCTCCAGTCCTTCTTTGGCACTATTTTAAGCAGGCCTTTTGATTTTGTTGAAATAAGTTTTCTGTTGGAGGTGGCATCCTAAAAAGTTTTTAGATTGGATCCGCATGGTACGTTCTAGTGGTTCCCTGCTGGCTAGTCAGTGGGATGTGGGTGAAAGCTGGGTTTATACATAACAAACTCTTACTCCTTGTTTCATGCCATTCTAGACTTCTTTTAAACACCTTGAAGTTTTCTTAAATGCTGTTTAAAATGCCTTTTTTCAAGTGCATATTTCTTGTCACTGAAATTTCTCTATTTTTACCTTTTATGAGTGTCCCTCTGCTCTTATGAACTGTCGCCTTTTTCTCTGATTCAGAGACTCATGTCATGATACATTTAGACTGAACTGTCTCTTTAGTCTTTTTTGTTTTCTTACTGAAGCAGACTTCGCTTTATTTATGGTAACTGTAAAAATGCGTCACGCAAGCAGTTCAAGGCTGTGATCATACCAGATTTCTGCAATCACGTATTGTTAGTGAGCTATCCAGAGCGAAGGAAGAATGCTGCAGGAACCGCTGTAGTCATTTGTTACGTACAGTTTTGCTTTGGATTTGAGCCAGTGTTGTGGGATGATGGTTGTATGGCCTTTTTTCATACATGGTGAAAAAGTTTTACTACATCAAGATCCTGCGGGGTCTCTCTTTCCTGCTGGTTTCGATAGAATAATGGTACTTCTCATTTTGCCTCAGAAAAATGATTCTGTTTTGATCCTGGCACAGTACAGCTGCTCTGTTCCATATAAAGGGCCTGCATTTTGGTAGTGAGAGAGATGATCTTGAACAATCTGCAAGGAAAATATTTTTTATATATATTTTATATATATATATATATATATATGCCTTTTATAAGCTCTGTTGCCACACTTTATGCATTACGATTATTAAAATAGCTGAAATTATCTTGAATACAGGGGAAACTCATTGCACTCAGGCAGCCAGGAGAATTTTTTTTGGCTGTATTGGAAACTGTATATAATTCTGTTAACTGAACTCTGGATCTGGATTCAGAAACAGATTTGTCCTCTGGCACCCCAAAAGATAGAAGGGAATGGGGAATGCTAAGAAAGAGTTCCAGATACCAGAGCAGCTCCTTATTGTAGATGGGACTCTGCTTATTGTTTGAAGTGTACATCTGGAGTTGCACCAGAGAACATAGATAGGCTTTAGAGCACAGGTAATATGCAAGTAATGCAAAAACCTGCTATCATTCTACTCTAACTGAAACATCTGAGTAGTATGAAGTGTGCTGAGTAGTCTGGTGCCTGCGTAATGGGCATGGCTAACTGCACTGTGCTCTGCATCTTCTCTTTACAGATAACTTAGCTAAAAATGGGAGACGAATAGGAGAACACAGAAATAATAATTACTGCATTAAACAAAGACCCTCAAAGTGAAAGGGTGGCATATTTTAGAAAAGCAAATTTTGAATTTTTAGAGTAAATAAACAGTGAAAGAAAATAGTTAATGAGAATTATCCTTTGTGAAAGAAGAGTCGGGAATCTTTGGATACTGAGATTAAACACCAGTTGTCTCCGAATAATAGTGGAAAGAACAGGAAGGTGTTAATTTAGTGACGAGAGGTTCTACTTAAAATTAAGTTTAATGCCTTATTCTCTTTACCTTTTCTCTGAAGAAAGCTATTGGGGGGGGGGGGTGTTGAGAAATGCAACTGAAATATTCACTGAAGTCTTGTAAAGAAAAGGACAAAAAAAAGTGGAATGAATTCAGATTAGGATTTCAGAATAGCCTTTAAGGATAGGTTAAATTTAGGAGTGAGGGAATTCTTAGAAAGAAACAAAATTTTTTCACAGATAATCCATTAGGCTGTATTTTGACTGGCAAGGATTTTGTCTAATGAGGTTACATAAATCATGATTAGTTCTGGGAAAGAGATGCAACACCGAAAGAAAATGTGCTGTCTTTTCAAAGGTGATCACTGTAAAAAGGATATGAACTTCAAGTTCAGATAAGTTTCTGAAATAGTTACAACAATTCTAAGTAATATCTGTTCTGAAACTTCTTTTACAAATTCTGATGGTTTCAGAATAGCAGAATTAATGAAATAAACTTCCCTTTTGAGATTTGCAATTTTTTTTTAATGGAAATAATTGTGTGAAACGAGAACTCTGGGAGATGCTGACAAATGCCCAGGAAAAAAATAAAAAATTTGTTTCTTGATTGTAATTAGTCTGATTGTACATGTAGTAGGGGGAGTGGGGAAGCAATTGTTCTGAAGTTGAAGAGGAGAGGACGTCTTAAAAACGTAAGTGTTTGAATCCAGTCTAACGGGATCATATTATAGGATGCTCTTATATACAAGAAAAGCTTTTGGGTTTTGCTTTCATTTGAGAAGGTGAAAGAAATAGAGATGTCTGTCTGTATCCTTCAGGAAGAAGAGGAGTTCAGAATAGAATTTCAGTTTGATCAACATATAAAAATAGAATGGAAAAGCACGGTTGAATTCTGTGCTGTTAGCAGTGTGAAAATGACAAGGAATACAAGATGGCTGTTTCCACGCATTTTGTAATTTTGAATTTGGTGTTATGCAGTCTTGAAGGACGCTGCAGAAAGCCAGGGTCCTTTGAGGGTCCTGAATGGTTTCAGTATTCACAACCTAAACTTTCAGTTGGCAGGTACTGTTTGTGAAGTTATATAAGAATCTGTTTTTTAAAATAAGTTTCCATTTTAATATATAACTTGCTCTTTTAAAAACTGTATACCTTTTTCCACTAAGGCCTGAGTAGATTACATCCACTCAGGTTTAATGGAATCAGAATAAATCTTGGCAGTAGATTCATGAAACTATATTTAGGCAATGCATTTCTAAACAAACTATAAAACTGAAGACAGGTTGCTGCAAATACATGAATTACTTTTAGTAAATTTGATAGTTATTTTTCAGGTATCATTGAGAAGATTATCTCAGGTCACAGTAGCAGGAGGGAGAAATTGCGGAGGTCATTAATAAATGTTACTGAAATGATGGAAAATTGTACAGCTGTGAGCGTTACATGGGACGATTGTGTCAAGTTCTGTTGAGAGAATGGCTATGACTGAATTTCAAATGAGAACTGAGGGACTGTGAAGTTGAAAAGTTGAATTTTCTCAATGTTGCACAAGGGTATTTATAAGTGATGTTTATTTTTCATTTATATTATTTGGAAGTGAAACTCGCCGTGTTTTAGGCTTTCCTGTTCAGCAAAAAATAGGCAGTGTTTCCTCATGTTTTGTCAGCCAAAAAGCGAAAAATTAATAATAAAAATTTGTTCCAACAAGTTAGAGTGCGATTTCAGACCTATTTTTAAAAAGATCAGAGTAGTACATCTAAATTGAAAATAATTTAGTAGCAACATAAAATTCATAAATCTTCAGAATTAGAAAATTGACCATAGACCGTTGGGAAAGTTGCAAGGTAGCATAGTGAATGCTGCTGTACGCAATTCAGTAGGAGCAGGGACTCTAAACATCACTAAAATATTTCTGCAAGTCATAATGACTAGCAAATTAGATTTCTTTTAATGTGTTCTTGCAGCAAGAAAAGCAACTGATTTAGGCTGAATACATGGGAATTATCTTCTTTTAGCTTTATTGCAAGTGCATTTGAAGTTCTTGTTTTCAGGCTTTTCTCAGGAAGTTGTTTTTCTTGTTGTTTTTTTATATACAGAAGAGTGAGATGTGATCACCGTGAGTTTTAATGAAAGCTGTGACTGAGTGTCTGCCCCAAGGGAGCTTATTTCATACGTGGTATATCAGGCCATAATTCCGTAGAGAGTAGCTGGTGAAGTATCATCAGTAAGTTTCTTGCTTTAGAATTGGATACCTGCCTTCTAAATTCATAGGCTTACTGAGATCTTTTAAAATCACTGAATTTCAGGACTGTGAATAAAAAAAAAAATTGTGTGGCCTCCTATACCAGCTCGGAAAGGATTTTCAAAGCTTAGGGAGGCAGCATAAGAAAAATACCAAGGTGATTGCACTGCAGATAAAACGGGATATGGAGGTTCTTTCTGCTGTCAGGGTAGTGGCAGTGATGTGGGAAAATGAGCCTAATCAGTAATGGGAAACAGGAAGAAGATCAGTTGAATGAGATACTTCAGAGAGCAGCTGAACACTGTCCGGAGCGTGGAGTTGTGTCACTTAATAGGCCTTTTCATCTCTGAGACTGTAATGGCCTTGTGAGTAGCTGTGATCTGAGAGAAATGTAGTCATAACATTTCATCACAAATCAACCCCAGCCAAACTTATGGAAACATACAGATTGGAACTTATTAGCGTTACATTTATGTATCCGCTTAAGGAAGCAGATAAAAGCTCCTGTTGAAACAGGGTAGGTGTTAATGTTGAAATCCTTTTTCTGTATCGTGGTAATTTTGGAAAACACTGCTGTGGCATTCTTACTTATTGCTACATTTCAGACCTGATCCTCTTGTTTGCTGCGTAGGTGATCTTTGGTAGTTTATTTGTGATACTACATGGGAAGTGGACCCCACCTCCTTTTTCATTGCTGGCTTTAGGAAGAAGATCATGCCTTGTATTTCCTTTCTTCTGATGAACTGATGTTGGTGTTATGGGAGAGTAAAGTATGCTGATGTGGTCTTATTTTTAGGCAGAAGCAGGAGAAATGAGTAGAAATACTGAACTAAAGAAGCTGCAGATCTTTGGAGCAGGACCCAAGATGATGGGACTGGCTTTGGGAGCAAAGGATAAAGAGGGTAACTAAATCTGGGTTTATCATGTATGGAGCAAAATAGCCTGGAACAGACTTTTAAATCTTCCTGCACCTCTCTAGAGACGACAATAAGAAGTAAGCAAGTCGTCATAACTGGAAAAAGAAAGCTAAGTATTTTAGGGTTTAATTCATGAGAAAGATGTACAGGACACTTCATGTAACTTGGCATAGTTTCAGCTCTCTATGTATTATATAGTAATCATAATGATTAAGCTCTTTTTGCATGTACTGAGGACCTGGAAATGAAAACAAATTTTAAAAATTTTGACACTGTTCATACCAAGTGCTCAAATTATGAGTGTAATTTACACTGTTTCTTGAGGCAATTGGATCACCTGTGAGGATCAGCAAAATATATTTTTCCCCCCCTAACCCCTGTTAATTTTAGATTGGCACACTTGACCAGATATAGCAAGGCATTCTGGCCTCCTCTGAACTATAAGATGGTTTCTAATATGTAAAGCAGGACGCCAGGGTGGACGTAGATGTTGGTTTTGCAAATTGAATCTATCTTTATGTGATATTAATAACACTTAACTTTATTTTACTTCAAGATGAGGTGTCGCGAAGACGCAAGGGAACCAGATCAGAAGCATTTGGAATGCAGATGAGGCAACGCAAAGGAACCCTTTCTGTCAACTTCGTAAGTTTGATTCCTTTGCAGAGGTGTCTGGTAATACAAAATTCATTTATTTACTGAGATTATTAAGGAGTTTTTTTATTTTTTGTTCTTTGAAAAAGAGGAATGGCTATAACCTGCAGCAGATTATCCTGTTCGTGTGGGAAGAATGAACAATATTTTGAGCAACGATATATGCTTTAGGTGGAGATTTTGGTTTTGATCCTTCAGACAGAAAGGTGGTTATAACATGAAGGTACTTTCTGACCATGAATTCAGTGCCTTGCTTTGCCACATGATTTTTACATGTCTTCGTCTTCGGCGCCTTACTTTCTGTCTATTTCAGCTCCCCTTTTCTAGAAGAATTATAATACTACTTCTTCTTTAAAAGGTATTTTGAGGTACATCAGTACTATGGCGTTTCGTTTTTTACAAACTCCATCTGTCTTTATCCCAAACTACTATTTTGTATTTAAACTAGCCATTTCATTTCATAAGCCCATCCAGGAGAAAATTAACAGGAACCATTAAGGGGAAAAATGAAATGTTTAGCACTCTGATATTTGAGCTTGGAAAAACAGTATATAGATGTTCTTAATTGCTTTCATAGTTCGTGTGACTTTGGTTTTAAGCTGCCATAATTTAGCATATGTACACAATTGTGAATGAAGATGCAGGCTTTTGATGTCTCAAGAAATAAGGTTTTATTATAATAAGGTCTTGAAAAACTAATAATTGGGATGTACTTTTTCTCTTATTCTGAGAACACTTAAAAGAGTTTGTGGTTATTTTAAATTTTAACCATAGAAAGCCAAGGCAATGAAAAGTCTCAAGTAATCACATTTTTATATGCAGATATGCCTCCTGAGAAAAAACATATGGGAGGAGTTGGATACTTAAAAAACAAGTCACTGTACCATTGTAGTTAAGTTAGAATTTGTATGACTTCTTAAACTTGATTTTTTTTTTTTTTTTTTAAATTATGTTGCTTCCTCGGAGCATATGGTATTCCTAGGCTGTGTAGGGTGTTGCGATCGTTTTGTTTTTTGAAGTATGCTTACATTTACTTTGTCTAGTCTCTGTTTCTTTGTAGAAAACAGTACTTGTTTCCTATTTCTATTTACCCTCATTCCTAAGAGAAAATGAAAATACTGCAGCAACAGAACTGCTGTTTTGCAATTGTAGTGCAATAACTGTAACCTTGTGAAATTCTGTGACTTGGTACCATGTAGGTCCTCATTTGTTTTGTTTAATACTTGGATGAGAGACCTTCAAGGAAAGTAGCCTTTGAAGTGCATGAGATACATTAGCCATATACCTTCTGTCTGAAAAAGTGTGCTGCGGTTTTATTTATACTTTTCCCTTATTTGTTTATTTTATGTTTATGTAAAATGGTAGCTGTGAAATAATGTATACCTCCTTTTACTTTTTATCCCCTCATATCTTGAAATATATAACTATATATAATCTTAGTCTTGCTGTGTTTTAATTGTATAGCTGGAAGGCTTATTTTTGGTTACTCTGTAATCAGAGATCTGCTTGTTGTGAATATATATTTCAGTGCAGACTTTATATTTGACAAATCATGACATGGGCTGATGTAGAAAAGATGGTATGTGTTCATATGAATTTGGAGGGAAGAAGGTATTATCAGCAAGAGAATAATTCCAAGGTAATGCGTTTAACTTTGAGAAGAGGACCTGGAAGTGTCTGCCCACCAGTTGCTCTTCTCTTTATATACCTGCAACAAAAGTAACTAGTTTAATGCCTAAGTCAGACGTGATCTTCTGTGAAGGTTGAATTTAAAAAAAAAAAAAAAAAAGTGGAAAATGGTTGATTTCTTAATAGAACCACGTTATTTTTAAAATTGTTTCTTGAGAAATTCACTGAGCAATCTTCTATTTGAGAAGTGTATTACTGCCTAGCTAGGAAGTTGCGTACTTGACTAAGCTGGCATAACTAAGATGGGGCTGACTTCAAGTACTTGACACAACTATGTGAACTTAATCAGCTGAAAAGCGAATGCTTTTTTGTGACAGTTTGACTTGAAAAAAAAAAAAAAAAAA